CATTACCTAATGTGTATGTAGCACCTGCCAAAGTCAATCTGCTGTCTCTGAATGGCTAACCTGTCAGCAAGAGGCACTCATCTTCAGGGTTACCAGCAAACCACTTGGTGGGAAATTAACGACTCTGGACTTTCTCCATCCAGGAAAGTCCAGCAGTTTGCCAACACCTCACAAGGATGGGTAGCTATTTCAGGTGTGGGCTTGTCTTTCCTGTCTGCAGAGTTTTAGCTGGCACCACTATCCTTAGACAGCCTGATCCACAGGTATTAAGTCCCATACAATAGCACTCAACTAAGGGACTCACTATACAGCAAAGTAGCTGTGGGAGTGAGTCCATGACCATGAGATTCACTGGTTGTATTACATCCTGCAGCAGCCAGCCTCAGTATACTGGACTGTCTTTTGAAAGCACACGTGAAGTGCCAACTCAGGGCATTAAGAGGCAAGATTCTAAAAATGCCATCTTTGCCTGGCCAGCGAGGCTCATCAACCAGGAGGTTACAGTTCCCGGTCAGGGCACATGCCCGGGATTCGGGCTTAATCCCACTGGGCAGTGTGCAGGAGGCAGCCGATCAATGATTCTCTCACCATTGATGTTTCTCTCTCTCCCTTCCTCTCTGAAATCAGTTAAAAAAATACACACACACACACACACACACACACACACACACACAAAGGATGGAAAAAGATGTACTATGCTAATATTAAAATAAGACATAAGACAATATCTATTTGTGCTCATTTCACATGGTTCCTATGGGACTAAGACCCAAAGTATAGAAATATAATTTGCAGACTGTAGAATTTTATATAAATCAATATAGGAAATAAACTGTGAAAACAATAGCTACTATATACCAGCACTTTATGTAAATTATTTCATTTAATCCTCACCACCACCCTTGGGAAGTTAGGTATTAGTATTCCAACTCATAGATGAGACTAGAGCAGGGGTGGGCAAACTTTTTGACTCGAGGGCCACAATGGGTTCTTAAACTGGACCGGAGGGCCGGAACAAAAGCATGGATGGAGTGTTTGTGTGAACTAATATAAATTCAAAGTAAACATCATTACATAAAAGGGTACGGTCTTTTTTTTTTTTTTTAGTTTTATTCATTTTAAACGGGCCGGATCCGGCCCGCGGGCCATAGTTTGCCCACGGCTGGACTAGAGAATATATATCTTGTCTACCTATAGAGGTAGTATCAAGGTTTGATTGCAATCTCTGTAGGCAAGCATCTTCACACCAACATTACTCTGTGTACAATGATGAGGACAAAATAATTTAAATGTTTGTAATTTGAAAAATGTAAAGTAAAAAGAAATATTATTTAATATCAAACTCTATCAATGACACTTTAAGTATCATTTAGGACTGTTCTTGTCATTCATTCTCAAAACTGTACTTGCCATGTGCCAGCAGCTTTTAACGTTAAAACACTGAACTTGCATTTTTTATTTATAATGGAAAACACTTTAAGTCACTGGGAATTCCCGCATATCTACAATTAATCTTCAATTCAACTCATTGCATGGAACTGCTGGTCACAGTAGCTGAAAGAATTAGGCTTATGAGATATCTTCCTCAAAGGATATTTAGGGTGATTTCAAGTCTTCATAATTACTTCTGTTAATTATGTAGATTTTGCCCCAGAATTGTAACATTTAAAACCAAACTAAAATCAGGAAAGGAGCAAATATAAGAAAATGTTATCTGAATAGCAGATATCCTTGATTGGTAAAAAACCAAATTTCTTTTAAAATTCTATCCCTTACTTCGTTTCAGTAAAATGTCACAAAAACTACAATGACAGGGGCTAAAAATATAATTGATAGTATAGTAATTCCCTGTGCCACAAAGAATAATTAACATCTGAGTTAAAGCATTTTATATAAAACAAAATACCTATTTTTTTTGGGGGGGGGGCACTGTTCTCCAAAGGCACTGCACTGCCAGGTCAACACACCATCTCCCTGCTGTAAAAACCCACTTAATATGTTGTCCTTGGATAGAGGATATATGTTAGTCAACAGATATGTACACTTGATCTTAGTCACAAGGCCGAGAAGCAATGTACCTTTTATTAGTGGGACTACTGAACACCAGGTAATCTGCTTGACCTTTTAATCACCCTATAACACAGATATTATTAAATAATTCCAAGTAAGGAAGTAACATGCTTTTCCCTAAACATAGGGAACTGGGATAAAGTTGGAACCATGCCAGTAAGCCTGAGCTCTAAATTCACTGAATTGATACATCAAGGATTAGTGATAGGTAAGAGACATAAAACAAAAAAATGGCTGGATGCTTATTTCAACTAGAGGTTTTTTAAAAATCCAGGTTTTCTTTTTTTTTAAAAAAAAAGACAATCTCTCACATGTGTGTATAACCTCAGCCAGGTTGTCAATCTGAAGATTGAATACTGTGGTTATCAGCTTCTATGATAGAGCCCTCCATGAATTTTTCACCCAAGGCTCTTCCATTCATTGACTGGTGTCTGGATCCATTTTTGAATTGTAATATAGTATATTTCTAACATCCCTTTTTTATTAGAAGGAATTCTACAAAAAAACTTCCTCTCCTTTCCTATCAGTTCACAGAATAAATGGGAATAGAGGAATGGATACCACTGTGATGAAATATTGAATATGGGAAATTCTCTGAAGATAAATGACCCACCTGGCTAGCATGGCTCAGTGGCTGAATGTTGACCTATGTACCAGGAGGTCACGGTTTGATTCCTGATCAGGACAGATGCCCAGGCTGTGCGCTCCATCCTCAGTAGGGGATGTGCAGGAGACAGCTGATCAATGATTCTCATCACTGATGTTACTCTCTCCCCCCCTTCCTCTCTGAAATCAATATATATACACATTTATATATATATATATATATATGTAGGGACCTGAGCTCAAAGAAGAAGGGGAGGAGAGCTGGCAGCAGACACTCAGATAATGATCCCAGGGGTACACTAACCACTAATCATTTCTTCCATCCTACATAATTTATTGGTGTTTCACTTTAATTCCTAAAATTCCAGGAATTAGGCTAAGAATTAGCAAATCCCATTTGTGAAGAATCTAAGTACTTTTCAGAAGGGAAAAGGGGTTAGCAATGATAAACTTAGTGAGAAATAATCTGGAGGCCTGGCCAGGTGCGTCAGTTGGTTGAGGCGTCATTCCATATACCAAAAAGGTCATGTGGTTCAGTTTCCGGTGAAGGCACACACCTAAGTTGCAGGTTCAATCCTGGGTTGGGGTGTGTACAAGGAGGCAAGTGATTGATGTTTCGTTCTCCTCTCTCAAACCAATAAACATATCCTTGGGTGAGGAATATATATATATATATATATAAAGGATATTTTTCTCTCTTCCTTTATGCCAAGATCAGCTACTCTGAGAAAATGAGTTTCTGATGGAGACTGTGAACATTAATTTTGGAACTTGAAGCACTTGAGCAAGCTTATATAGTACAAGAAGCTTAGCTAGTACAAGGGCACTGGTAGAAGGACAATAAAGGGGAAAACAAAGGATGGCAGGCATCTATTGATCCCTGTATCAACACTGCTACATTCAGGAAAAATCTTTTCTTTACATCTAATGTTCCTTTAAGAAAAACCTTATCACATATAATAATACAATGCAACTATTCAGTGCATCTACATTCATTATATGTAGATGGCATCAGAGGCCTAAACATAATTTATGGAGTGATTTTGTAGTAAAATTTATTTCAGCTTTCTTAAATGCCTAGTAAACTTTAAGAACATAGCCTTATTATACTGGCAAATGCCCCCTGTGAATAATGTAGGGAACCAAGCCTTGTTTCAATATTTGTCATACAAGAAAATTCCATGCATTTTGTTTAAAATATACAAACAGGTGAAACTCCAATCTCTGTGTAACACACTTACAAAATGGGGATACTTTTAACAAAAAACAACCTGCATCTCAACAATCAATTATAAATTCTACAACAAAAAATATTTCTATCTGGCAGATTGAATGGAACCAATAGTTTTTGTTTTACTAAATTAAGTAACGTTTACCATGTAGTTTTAATGTGAAAACAGGTAATAGTAAGAAAAAATACCTATAGTCAAATAAAAAGCTCACCATGTTAAACCACCAATCAGGGTCTAGAAATTTCTGCGTTTCTTCTCCAAATGTTTTCCAATCAAATAATTCCTTTTCTCTAGTAGGGGTCAACACAACTATATATTGCTTAATAATAACCTTAATTCTCATAGGCTGAGGTTTAAATATTTACCTCATTTGATAAGGAAACAGATGTGAGACATTTTCAAGACTCCTCAAGATTTGGCATTAAAAACTAGCACCTCAGTCATTAGAATTCCGGTTTCTATGTTTGTGACTCACTAAATAGCTACTGGAAAACAGGACTTTCAAGCTGACTTTCTAGTTAAGATTTTAATCTTAGAGGAAGTGTGTATGTGGTTTTCTTAAAAACCTATCATGATAGACAAACTGGATGGTTTAATACTACTAACATCTCCCACGGAGACAAAACACAATACTTAAAATAAAATGCCAAGAATAAACATTTCCTATGGGTTCTGATTTCCAATACCTGGCTACATAGAGTAATTAATACTTATTACTTGTTGAACAATACAGGAAAAACTTTTCAATATAAGAAAAGTTCCAAATTTGAGGTAAAGAATATTCATTCATCAAGAATAAAGTAGTCAAGATTTCCTTTTACTCAAAAAAACAACAACCAACCAAACACAAAAAAACAACACACACACACACACACACACACACACACACACACACAAAACTTTAAAAGTCTGCCTCCATGTATAAAAGATAAGATCAATCACATTTATCACTGGACACAAAAGATAGTCAAAGGTCTTTAAAAATGTTAATCTCAAAAAGAAAAATTGACTTTTATACTTCATTCACTATCAAGACCATACTTGCTTAACAAGATAATTATGCTATTGATACAAAACATAGTGTATTTACACTTAACTGTACAAAATAATTTAATGCTTACAAAAATATTAGAATGTTTAGAGTTGACAGACACAGTCTTAAGTAATCTCTGCTAGAGAAGTATACAGTTAAGACCACTGATTTCCATTTCATTTGTTTTTTAATAAGTCAAAAAAGGGATGCTGCAATGCTTCATCTAAGGTAATTCTTTTCACTGGATCATACTCTAACATTCTTCGAACCAGGTCAAACAGTTTCTCGTGTTCTTCATCATGACAAAGCATAAATTCCTGGGGGGAAAAATGTTTTATTTTAGAAAGATATTTAAAAATAGCTGAAACATTTTTTAAACTTTTAAATCATTTTTTCTTTTACCTTTAATGGTTTGCAGCGTCTCCTAACGTATCTACCAGCAGAACTATGTTCATCCCAATCTAGCTGGTTATGGTGAAAATACTTGCGTTTTCTATAGGAAGAAATATGGATTAGTAAAAATAACAAAAGACCCACATGTTTACCCTGCCTACACCAGAACAGATGAAAGTATAAGCATCTCTATGTATACGTTTCTTAAAATCTTAACAATAATTATGTATCAGACAGCTTATAGAATACTTCCGTAATCTTGTACACTGAGAACAACGCCAGTTTTAAAAACAGAAGCCTCTGGATCCATTCTTATAAATTCTGATTTCCATATTGAAGTGGGGCTGGAAATCTGAAGTGGGGCTGGAAATCTTTAAAGAACTCCATGGATGACTTCTGAGGTGCAGCTGTGTTTGAAACCCACTATAGTGCCTTGTGTAAGGACATATAGTTGACTTAGCACCAGTATAGAATTCTAACAGATTGCTATGACTCCAAAATCAGGCTATTTTTACTACTCTATTTATTGTTTGTATATAAACTTAGGAATACAATTATGCAGAGGAAATCTTCAGTGTCAAAACCACCACTTTGTTTACTAGATCACAGGTAAATACTGTCATTACTTTTTAAAAACTTTATGAAAACTTCAAAATATGCAATCCTTGGAAAAAGCAATAACCACGAAGTTGAGTTTTTCTGTAGTTTGGATATAGGCTATTGCATGTACTCAACAAAGGTCTTTAATCTTAAAGCATACCTTGTTTTCTGAATCATGTGTGTTGGTATAGGTCCTAATATTCTTTCCATCATTGCCAGGTGCTCTTTACTGTCATGAGTCTGAAAAACGTAGGGGGAAAAATTTAGCATTTTTCATTTCTGTGTATACACAAGAAAGAAAACCATTAAGAAAATAGTACTGACATAAAAGGACTAAATTAGAGTTTATACAATTTACATTACACTCTCTCCTTCAAATAGGGAACAATAGCAAGAGTTGTATTATCTGGTGCAAACCCAATAAAACAGTCTTTCTGAAATGAACCTGTACGGCTCTGTATTGCAGAGAGGCATAATTTGTTTAAAGTAAATTGATCAGTTTTCTTATTTATTTGTATCTCCTGCACTGTTTTTAACTGAGGAATGACTGGAGAACATTATCAAAAAATACTGTGTCCTAATTTAAGCAGTTGCTTAACCAAAATTAACCTCCATTACCCAATGAATAGCAACATATTAACACTTACTAATACTAGGCAATAAAAATATAGTCCCAATAATTCTCACAACAATCCTGAGCTAGGTATATGGGAATATGAATTTCAAAGAGGTAAAGATACCAGCTCGAAGTCACAGAGCTCAGAAATGAGGAAAGTTGAGCTATGAACCCAAGTCAAAACTCATTCTTAAACTATACATTAGCAGAGCTCTTACTGAAGTAAAACAGAGAAAAATGTCACAGTTAAAATGTGATGTTTCTAGAGCAGAAATTGGCAAACTTTTCCTGTAACAGGCCACATAGTAAATATTTTAGGTGTGGATGGTCACAATTGCATATTCTTTTTTATGTTTTAAAGAAGGCATCAGGCAGGATATAGTTTGTCAACCCTTGTTCTGAAAGCAGAGGTGGTGTGTAATGCTTTTTTAAAACCTATCAACTGTTGTGCCTGGCACATTGCTTTCAAAACATTAAGTACTTAATTTAAGACAGGAATAAACATAATAGCTCCACATTTTAATGAAGTTCCTTAGTTGAAGAGTATGTTGTAGGGTGAAATCCAAATATAAACCTTATCTCAAACCAATGTTAATAATCTGCACTTCACTTAAGACCTCTGTAATTTAAATTACAAACTCATTACAAAGAGGGCATGTATTCTGCTTAACTTTTTCTTGACCCTATCATTTATTACCATAAAACCAGACACTACCGCCTTGAACTGACCAATAACCATGATTCTAGATATCAAACTTGTCTATAAACTCAGAGTAATTTTAACAGGATCTCTATGGATTAAACAGAAGCAGTGAGCACATACACCCTGCAATAGCTACACCCAAGTCTAAACTCATCATAGCTTCTCCTCACCCTATTTGATGTAACTTCAATCTTATTATGAGCCAGAATGTCGTGAACTCCCTTCCCCTCCCCACAACCACAAAACAGAACGCCATAACACCCTGACCACATTACAACTTAAACAAGTTTTCATAAAAGGGATACATTATCCCTCCTGGGCTTTTTTGGTAGTAATCTCCAAATAAAGGCCAAATGGCAACCTCACAAAATCATTTTCATTTTAGACCAGTCTACATTTGTAAATCACTAATCAGTGGTTCTCATCCTGTGGGTTGCGACCATCAGAAAACACATATAGCATATCAGGTATTTAATTTACGATTCATAACAATAGCAAAATAACAGTTATGAAGTAGCAACGAAAATAATTTTATGGTTGGGGGTCACCACAACATGAGGAACTGTATTAAAGGGTCACGGCATTAGGAAGGTTGAGAACCACTGCTACTTCTAAGATAAAACAAATACCTTTTTATGGAGAATAAATCCATTATGAATCAATCAGTCCTTGCCTACTGTCACGATTTTCCTATTTATGCAAGACTGATGCACCATTTATTCTTCCCTCACAAGAGTATGTTCCTTTAAACCAGTACCCATTTAAGATACTATTTCTTGCCTGGCCAGTGTGCCTCAGTGGTTGAGTGTCGACCCATGAACCAGGAGGTCATGGTTTGATTCCCTATCAGGCCACATGCCGGGTTGTGGGCCCAATCCTCAGCAGGGGGTGTGGAGGCAACAGATCGATGATGATTCTTTCTCATCACTGATGTTTCCATCTCTCTCCCTCCCTCCCTCCCTCTGCTTAAAAACATTTTTAAAAATAATAAAAAAGATACTATTTCTTCTCCTGACACGACCCTCACACTCTGGTTTTCTGACAAACTCCTACGCTTCCTCTAACAATGGCTTAAAATCCCTACTCCTTTAGTGATGCCTTCTCTAAGAAAATTTAACTGTTCCCTTTTCCTGGATCCAACTATACTTTCTACATTGATCCATTACAGCAAATACCACATTATACTGTAAGTTCCCTCATGTCTCTCTTTTGTATGATTTCCTTGGATATTGCCTTTTATCTTTATGAAGCCAAGAGTGTAACAGATGCTTAATAAAATACAACTTATTGTTCCTGAATTCTTTTATATAAAAAAGTGCCTTGTTGCCTGGCATGGCTCAGTGGTTGAGCGCTGACCTATGAACCAGGAGGTCATAGTTTAATTCCCAATCAGGGCACATGCCCAGGTTTTAAGCTTGATCCCCAGTGTGGGGTGTGCAGGAGGCAGCCAATCAATGATTCTCTCTCATCATTGATGTTTTTCTCTCTCTCCCCCTCTTCCTTTCTGTCTGAAATCAATAAATATATATATATATATTAAGAAAAAATAAAGCCATAGGATAGTCAGTGCAACCAGAACTGAATTAAAACTGGCCGCAGTAGCACTAAATTTATGAAGATTATCTGTAACAAAAAATGGAAACATAAGACAGTATGAACATGTGTTAAAAACTCCAATATGTAAAATGAACTGACCATTCACTAAGAGTAGTTTTTCATTCAACTATGGTTTTAGAGAAGGATAACCATTTTGCATATGTAAGTTTTAATCTTAAGAATGGCACTATGGCAACTTTTCACATGGAAGCCAAATTTTACATGCCTTTAAAACTTAACAATATTCATTAAATACATACCTGAAAGACCGTGAAACCAAGGTAATATTCAATAAGAATGCAACCTATGCTCCAAACATCACAAGGTTGAGACCAACCTAAAGCTATTTAAAAACAAAAACAAAAATTTTATTATGTAATAATTTTTAATTGCCAATTTACTAGATCCTTCTGTAGATGAGTACTCTCTTTATATAACTCCTTTGGGAGAATATGACAGTAAATTCAGGGTTTATATTTTGACTTTTATTTTTTAATCCTCACCTGAAGATATGTTTTTATTGATTTTAGAGAGATGGAAGGTGGGGTGAGGAGGGGGAGAGGGAGGGAGGGAGAAACATCGATGTGAGAGTTATCAATCACTTGCCTCCCATACGCCACCCGACAGGGCTCTAACCTGAAACCTGGGTATGTGCCCTTGCCAGGAACTGAACCCATGATCCTTCGGTGCACGGAACAACATTCCAAACAACTGAACCACAATGGCCAAGGCTACATTTTAAATTTTATATCAAATATTACTCTGTATGTTCTTAGTCCTCCATATCCTGACATCAAATTATAGCATTTAACGTGGAGTAAGGGCATTTAATACAAGAGAGGGACTAGAAAATATTTCCCAAGTATAACTACCAATTTGTGGAAATATTCCATAATCTCTGAATTGCTTGTGCAATGGGAGTACTATTACACCAGTTCATGGTTGTTCCAGGAAATTTTACATTTTATTAATGCAAATATAATTCGATATTTATCCTCAAAATACAATTATTAAGCCCTTATCAATTATCATAAGCTTGATGCCTGAGTTTACTTCTTCCATTAAAGAAAATAGTTTGACATAAATTATATACGAATCATAATGAATACTATATGCAGTTTCACCTATAATCAGAATTATATATATCAAGTCTTTTAAAGTTCACACAGAGAGGGAGCTATATATGTACTTTCAAGCTGTCTATACATGATCACATATACTTTCTCCTTCAGGATTGTCAATGGCAATACTATTTTGGAAAGAATAAAATACCCAAACTTCTTGTATATATTTAATTGGAAAGGAGATGGAAAGAATAAGCCATACAGATATTTTAATCGTTTAAAGATCAAATAATTAGTAAACAATAACGTATAAATAAAACCTACTTTAAAAGACATTTTAAGTACTTTTAGTTACATCACTGAATTTAAAGGTAAAGGAAGAAATAATACATTCAAGGGCTTTGACTATGATTTAGTCATTTTTGTTAACCCTGACAATGCTTATCACTTGAACAAATGGATAATGGAGCATGATTTCTACTTATATGCCCATACAACATCTGCAAATAATAGAGCTTGGACTTAAGATGAAAGTTTTTTACCCCAGGTGACTGTAACTGCAGCACACTGCTCTAAATCATCCCATTCTGATGTGTCAGTTTTCATACTCTTTGGAATTCTACAACATTCTCTTTCACTAATCTCTCTCAACTTTATTACCAAACACCCCAAACCTGAGATTAACTGACCTCAATTGTGGCACCTGACTACATCTTCCTCTCCTACCTAATTCTGCCTTAATCCTCAGGATAAACACTCCACAAACACATAGAGGACCCTTCTAATCTCCCAATGTGGTCTCTTTTGTCAAGGTCAGTAATACAATTTCGAATTTATACCAACTATCCCTATCCTGGCCACACTTTGAACGTCATTATTACTGAAAACTACTATATTTTATCCAAGTTAGGAGGCCATTAAGTGTAAGACACACCACTGTTGTACATACCAATAACAAAGAAATGTCAATTGTTTTGTGTTGTATCTCCCCACATTTTAATGTGGGGAAAATTCTGAATTTAAGTTGATAAAATCCAGGAATTTACCTCCTTCTGAGGTCTAAAAAATATTTTACTATCTAACCTCAGTTGGACCTTACTTATGGCCAAGTTATAATAAACTTATTCCATTTAAGTAATTCCCCAAAGCATCTGATCTGAACTTTCCCCACTATCTCCAAGCCCCCAAACACATCCCTGACTTCCCAGCTCTATTAGCATAACCTGGTCTCTAACTTTTCCATTTTGATGCATGCTCCCTTACTGAATTCCATTACTTTAAACCGGCTCCTTAACTCTTTTTATTTTCCAGCCTTTATCATGTGAAAGGCTTTTAAAGAAGCTCTCTTTTATGCTAGCTCTTTCTTTTCCTCTTGATGTTCCTTCACCCTACATTTAGATGTCTGCTAACCAAATTAGTATTTTTACCAGCACCATGCTTTGATGACACAAAAATAGATATCACTTCAAAATCACATTGCTGTGATGTACTTAGCCAATACAGCCTGTTCTTATAATCTCAGAGGATTAACTTGCTCAAAAATAACCACCACCTGAAGTGTCTTCACACATGGTATCATATTTTTCCCACTTAGGAAAAATATTTACAGTAATTTCGATTCTTTTTATGAAAAAAGCAAAGCATTTCCTGTATACTGCATCACCCCACCCCCTGGCAAAGCTTAAAGAACAAAAACCTCTTCTTCAATTACAGTATCAGGAAGTCTGGTGTCTACTAACCCAAAATGACCTCTGGAGCTCTGTAATGCCGTGTAGATACCAAAGTACTATGATGTTCATCATCGTATGTTGCACTTCCAAAGTCAACAACTTTGATATCTGTGTTTTTCAGTGTGCGTTCATCACGTTTCTAGAGAGAGACAGTTGAGTAAACATGAAGATCAATAAAGATATGAAATCTTTTATAGCACTATACAAAAGGCTTGCATTATCTTTTTGGAATTTCAACATAGCCCCATGAGAAAGGCAAAGAAAGATATGTTTTTCGGGTTAATATAAGGATAAGAATAAGCCTCAGAAGTGAAATTCCTCATCTAATGATCAACAAGCTAAATTATTTTTAAAGAACCACTAAAATTAAAACAAGTTTTAACTTACCATTTTAGAATTATATTTGACTACATAGTCAGACTTCACGAATAAAATATTTTCAGGCTTCAGATCTGTATGAGTTAACTTATTATGATGCAAAACTACAAGAGAATAAAAACACATTATTAGTTTCACTTACAAATTTAATCTGTATCGGGGAGAAAGAAGAATTAGTAGTGGATACAGGGGTCAAGAAGGGTTTTATCTTAACAATACGCAGTTTTAGTGACCATGTTTTAATACATTGCTTGTGTAACAAAAACTTTAAAATTCTGATGTTTAGATCTAGCCAGTTTGGCTCAGTGGATAGAGCATCGGCCTGTGGACTGTTGGGTCCCAGGTTGGATTCCAGTCAAGGGCGCATGCCCGGGTTGCAGGCTCGATCCCCAGTAGGGGGCATGCAGGAGGCAGCCGATCAATGATTCTCATCATTGATGTTTCTATCTCTCTTTCCCTCTCCTTTCCTCTCTGAAATCAATAAAAATATTTTTTAAAAATTCTGATGTTTAAGGTTTTATCAAGTATACTTACAATTTATTGACTGGCAGATCTGATAAGCCATCTGCCTGATGTGGTCAATTTGAAATGGTAGAAAGCTATTTTCTTTAATGAAATCATAGGTACTAAGTCCCAGCAATTCAAATACAATACAAACATGACCATGGTGATCAAACCATTCTAGCATCTGGACGCATCGGCTAAAATAGATAAAAATAAAAATAATTCAGTTCACAGAATTCTGATTATTTTATATAACATGATGGATCATACTTCACATTTATACTTACAAAACACTGTTGGGGTCAGTAGTATTTAAATGCTCCAATACTTGGATTTCTGAACGAGCTGCTTCACGGTATCGACCTACATTTTTAACGATTTTCACTGCTACATGTATGCCATCCCTTAAAAAAAAAAGTTAAGATGAAAATGATAAATGTAGAGAAGCAGGATGAAAACATGCAGCCTCTAAAGCATAATCTTATTAAGTATCACTTACTCTAATACTATTTTTCTAAAATATGATACCAGATTCCATAAAACATCTTTTTAAAACATTTTGACAAAATACCCTTAATTGGAGTAATGCTTCCCTTAATACTTACGAATTTTAATGTTTACAGAATTTTAAATTTACCTAGATTTTATACAAACATTAATGAAACAATAAACCTCAAAAAGAATATGCTACTGCTCAAAGCATTTGCTCATTACTAGGCTTGACCCACTCTGTGCCAGATAATGTACAGGTATGTGTTAATGATGAAAAAGGCAGGACTTGTCCATGTGTACCCAATAGCCCAAAGGAAAAGAGATATGACCAACTTATGGTAAGGTTAGAAGTGCTTGGTATGAGGTACAATGGAGTAGAGGAGGGAGAGCCAAACCACTGGGAGTTAAGGGAGCTTCGACTTCTTCAGAGAAGAGGTGATATATCCCTGAGCCTGTTTGTCAGAATTAGTAGGGAAAGGGAACATTTGGCCAAACAGACACCATCAATGAACCATGAAGTCAAGAATATGTTTTAGCACATTCACTAGTGCTAACAGGCTGAATTAGCTATAGTACAGAGCAGTGAGATTCAAATTGGGGCACCTGTAACTTCTTAAGTATAGAGTCAGGAGTGATGTGAGGAAATGGATTTCCAAATCTTCAACTTTCTTTTGTTCTCTTTTCTAAATCTGATCATCCAGATGATGAGCCAGAACTCAAGCTCTACTAATTTACAAGAGAAAGGAAAACCCCATGTGCCCCTAATTAGATCAAGATATGTGCCTTAGACTATAAAAAACCTTTGAGGCAAACTTTTCTAGTGTCTAGGCACAAACCTTTTCCCAAGTCTGGTGGTTTCCAATTCACTGCTTTCCACAAAGTCCCAATGACGTTGTGGGCTGATAAATCATTAAAATTTATTATTATTATTATTTTAAATATATTTTTTATTGATTTCAGAGAGGAAGGGAGAGGGAAAGAGATAGAAACATCAATGATGAGATGGAATCATTGATTAGCTGCCTGCTGCACACCCCTATTGGGGATCGAGCCTGCAACCTAGGCATGAGCCCTTGACTGGAATTGAACCTGGGACACTTCAGTCGGCAGGCCGACGGTCTATCCACTGAGCGAAACCGGCTAAGGGCTAATAAATCATTAAACATTATTTTGATAATATCCCCATTTGGCACATATCTCAACTTTAAATACTATTGATTGGATTATGTTGGTTAGATAAGAGTCTTGTAGTCTCGAAAAATTTTAAAAAGACATTAATAGGACAGTTGATAAAATCTGAATGAACTCTATAGATCAGCTGGCAAAATTTGAAAATATAACGTAATATATAAAGGAAATACTGTAAAATGTTAACATTTGGGGACTGTGGATGAAGCATATAGTCTGAAGATATTTTAAAATATTTAAAAATTTCAATTCATGTTCAGATTTTTGTTGCAAAGAAGATAGGGTGATAATAAAAAATATTTAGAATAATGTTCTGTGTGTAAAGTGGAAAGAAAATAAGTTCAAGGACAAAACATTTCCAGGGGCTAAAGAAGGGTCTGTTCATGGATAGTGGTAGGTATAAAGTTGTTATAGCATTTAGATTCCCTCAAAGTCATTTAAAGAGATGGTTTTTTGGTTGTTTTTTTAAAACATCAATACTTACAGAAAGCTGCAAGTTACATCATCCCCAACTATTTTATGATAAAAAAATTTAGGGGTCAATTTAGAAACATGCGGTTTCATTAAATTATCTTAAGTTCACTTACAAAAACGATTGCAAACCACAGAACAGAGGTCCTGAAGGACAATGTTAAAATGAGGCATAGAGGGGGAAATCACATTCCATAGGCTTTAATATAATCAATCAATCAATCTATCTATATCAAACCCTAATATGCAAATAGACCAAATGGTGGAACAACTGAACAACCGGTCGCTATGATGTGCGCTGACCACTAGGGGTCACATGTGGAACATGACAGGCGTCAGCCATGGCAGGATGGTGGAGCAGGAGAGCGGGGGCGCCAGACCAAGGCAGGACAGCTGGTTGCTGTCATTGGGGCAAGCCTCTGGTGGTTACTGAAAATTCTTTGCTCTCGCGCACTGCAGTCCCGCCTGCGCTCACACCTGCTGCGGGTGCCAGCCCTGCTCCCTTGGTGCCATCACCGGGTATGAGTGGCAGCCGCAGGCCCCGATCGCCCCTCAGGGCTTCTCTACCTCCCCTGCTCCCAAGGGGCAATTGGGGCCAGCAGCCGCCTCTCGCACCCGCTGCTGACCCACTTGCACCCTATGCTGGTGCTGGCCACAATTGCTCCGTGCTGTCAGCCGGTGTGAGCGGGGTGGGTGCCGTCAGCACGTGGGAGCAGGCATGCTGGCAGACAGGGGACTGGGGCTGCAGTGGTAGGGGCAGGATGGGGGTACAGAGGATGGGCCGAGACCCGCTCCTGTGCCCACTGCAGCCTCACGGCCCACAGTTCCTTTCAAGGTGCAAAAAGTCGTGCACTGGGCCCCTAGTGCCTTTATAGTTTAAGAAGTTAACTCTAACATGAAAACTTTGGGAATAAAGGTTTTTGAACCAAAATTAGACATGCTTTATTATCTCTGCAATTCAAAAGTAAAGTAAAGCACTCTGAATTTCTTACACAGCACTAAGAGCCTAAGTTCTGGGAAACTCTCTTCACCTGAACATGCACTTTAATATCAATAAACTCCATCTCGTAGAATTTGTAAGCATTCTTGATCAAAATTCACACTCATGGTAAGTAAATCATGCACATAGTTCAAGAAATTTTGAATATGTATATGTTAAGAAAACATGTGACTATCACTTAAAACATCATTTTATCATTATGGATCGTTCCTCACCAAAAGTATCAGAATGCGCAAGAAAGAAAAAAACCAAACTTACATGCCATGATCAATGCATTCTACAACTTTGCCAAAGGCCCCTTCACCCAAAGTGTCCACAATTTCATCTAAAGTGAGGGGGAAGAAAGAGTTAGTATAAGTACCTGAGTACTAATCATCTAGTTATTTAAACAATGAATGCTTAAGTGTGGAATACTTTCAAATGATTCTCTATCAAAGCATAACTAAGGTTTCAGCACTCAAATTATTTTATTTTCAGTGGCTACAAAGACAATTAAATAGAACTATCTTTCTTGATCTAATCTCAAATTTCACTGATTATTTTGGAGCTTTAGAGTAGAAATATTTAAATACTATAGAAAAGAAATACAAAATAACAAACCCACCAAAAAAAAAAACCACCAAAAAACAAAGAAGCAATGAAGAATTCTTTAGCCCCCCGCTGACAATCTATTCTTAAAAAGATTATTCTGTCTGCAAAGTTTAAAAAGTGTTGAAAAATATTCTATACATCTTGCTCTTAGAACGTCTCCACTTTGACAGATCAGGTGACCCTCCTCATCATCCTCTATACTCCTGGATCTTTTCCTTCGGTGGCTCTTCTGGAACGGCAAGTGGGCAGCACCAAGATCGTCCAGCCAATCAATATATCAGAGTGAATTCAGGGCAGAATACGCAATTCATTTCATTCAGCGGGGAGATATTCAGGCATTCAGATAAGCACCAGGCCACGAACAGTTGGCAGGAGCAATTTCAAATTCAGTCCCCAGAAATTCACAGGGCACAGTTTATGTTACAGAAGAAAAACATGGCAAGGAACAGATTTTCAGATAAGATACTTAAAGTGGCAATAGAAAAAAACAACACAATTGTCTCTTTAAAATACTGATTTAATTGAAGTCTGAAATTAAAGAATGCAATGTCATGTTCTATTAATCTCTTGCTATAAAATAGCATATGCTGCGAGTTGAAATGTCTAGTTTGTCAGAAAAATGTTTTAAAATGTCCAAGATTAGTTGAAATTATTTAGCAATATATTCAAATATACATAATTAAAATAAAAGGGAAAAATAATGGCTGGTTAATTTCAATGTTCAATCTAATCAAAGCTAGTTTTACTGAAGAAAAGTTGGAGAGGAAAACAGTATTTCAAAGATTACTGATCAAACAGCTTGGAGTGTTAAAAAAAAAAGGGCAGGTTTTTAAAAATACATTTCCCATTCAGCACCTATTTTCAGAACTTCAATGGAACTAGCTGCAGATAATAATGCAGTGTGCTATGGGACGATAATATACAGGGCATTTAGGCATTCACCTGTGCAACTTTCTATATTTGCTTCTAAGTATCAGAAAAGGGATTTCTTTTAAAGTAAAAAAAAAAAAAAAAATCAAAATGAAAGATGGGGGTTCATTATTTCATAAAACATAAAAACAATATTTTTAGTATTAAAATCAACAAACTTGTGATGTGGTCTATGGGAAATGAAATGATTAATACAGGCAAATGAGGACTAATAAATACAGATTAGTTATGAGCATTTGGAAGTTTCCTTTAAGGATTCAAGTAATATAAACAGAATATACAATATGATTCAAGTATTAAACTTATTAGCTCATTAAGAACTTTATACACAAATAAATATCCACCCCAATTAAAACAAAATCACTCATACCGAATGTGACTGATGACTTGAACAGTGTCTATTATGCTTCCTTTTAGGACTGCTTCTCCTGCTCCGGACTGAAGATTTACTGCAGTGAATTCGGTAACTGCTTTCAACATCTCTGTGATAATGCCTAGGAACATATCTTTCGCAGTACTCATTTCTGTATTCATCAATGTATCTCCTGTCCCGATAATCTCTCTCATTCAAGGATCTTGCTTCTAAATAATGACTGTAAACACATTAGAAGATTCCAAATTATTCTCTTCATTCTAGAGCAATGTGGTTCAAACAAAACATTTTCTCAAGAATTCCTGGTTTAAACAGCTAACTCAATAAAAGAAAAAGATTCAAATTGATGAATTAGAATTTATACTTATCATAAAACTTAAGAAATAATTTTACTTTAACCAATAAGCAAATGGGTTCCTATTTCTCTATTATATAGACTGCTGTTAAGCACCTCATATCAAGGAACAAAGCTTGAGCCAAATCATTCCATTATGTTCAGTGTTTACTTGATAAATGTCCCTTTGCCTTCTGGAGAAAGTTAAAACCAAAAATTTACAATACTGCGTCAGACTTATGACATATGCATCTGCAACTAAGCTTTTTTTCCCTCACATAGCCACACACCATTAGGGGCAGGCAATACAAGATTCCTTTCTCTTTTAATGTGATTTTTAAATATCTCTGGCACACAGAGAATTCTTTCATAAAAGGTGGTATATTAGATCTAGAAGGAATCCTAAATGTACTGCAGCCCTTTCATTTTACAAATGATAAGATCCCTAGAAGAAAATGATTTGCAAGGATTGCAGAACACATTCTAACTGATTAAATGGACGAATTTTATCACACACATCACCTATCCCATGTCCTTTCCTTTTTGTATTTCTAACTTCCTGTCATTCCTTTGAAAAATAGACAAAAGTAGCTTTTAAAGATTGCTTCATGTGCCAAAGACATCTAGAGTATTTCCCCTTCAAATGAGAAAGGGATCTTGTAATTGCTTTCCTAGAATTACAAGAGACCCACCACCCTAATCCCTTTGCATTTCTAATATCCTATTATGTCTGCTTGTAGTAAAACACACAAGAATTCTATATAGAAAACAGCTTCATTTAGTGCCACAGTGGTTAACTTCTGAATCTACAGATCCCTTTGAAAATCCGATGAAAGATCTGGGCCCTATTTCACCAAGAAATGCACCAATGAATAAACAAAACTTGGTAAGGAATTTCAGAGATCATAGACCTCAGCAAGCCAATGTATCCCAGTTAAGTAGCCTTGATAAGATGGAAAGAAAAGGACAGATTCAATTGGCCCAGTTTCCCGCCCCCCCTCTCTACCTGGGTTGAGTGTCCTCTTCAACAGAGTGCGAAGCTTCAAGAGGATGCACATGGAGCACTGAGGGAGAGAGGGGACACCTGCCCAGTCAGACAAATCAGCTAAAATAATCCTGACAAGCAACGGAGTGACAGATGTTGACTAGGTTGCCCTCACCAACCCCTCTACTTTCCCCAGAATATGCTGTTATTCTTTTCTCAGGGGCTGGTTTAGGCAGAAATAAAGAGAGGCATCTCTAAAATTGCTACACAACAGAACTGGCATCACATACAGGCTGCGGAGATGCAGAAACCCTTTTCCCTTTCCCCAAAGTCTTAAGTTTTCCCCATTGGAAAAACAACTCAGGATATTAAGGTAAGGCTGTGGGTCTAGGTCAGGGGTCTAATCAGTTGGCTTGGATCTATCAGAGAGAGATCAAACTAGAATTTACTATTCTCTTAAAGGCATCCTTCCCATAAAAGTCCAAAATCTTCCTATCAGAAAAAAAACACGAATAATCTTTAACTGGAATAATGCATGAAATTAGAGCTGCTCATAATCCATGAACAATCTATAGAATAACAAACATGAGGTGAAGTAATACCATGAGGATAAACTAAAAAGATGAGGACCTCTTTAATCTGTAACAACCAAGGCTTAGAGAGTATATAAACAAAGTGTATAGAATTATAGAGGCTCTGCAGAGTGAACAGGATGAGAAGATTTAATTTCTAAAAATGTTCACTAAATGCCCACTGTAGGCCTTCAAAATAGCCAAGACTAATGAGGCTATTGACATTTGTTTGTATTTGCACACAGGTCCTGTAGAAGATAATATATACATAAGCCCTGTCAACAAATAGACTGTTTGAGATTACTCACATAAAAATAAAGCACAACAATGCAGGAAATACTGAAAGGTTGCATGAGTGCTGAGGGTCATAGAAGGGAAAGCACTCAAGCTTCTGAAAATGGTCAGGGAAGACTTCATGATAAAGGAAGAGCTACATCTTAAAGGGAAGTCAGGGTCTGGACAAAGTGGAAAGTAGAAATGACAGGGGAAAGAATGGCATATTACCATTTTATACATTCACAGAGCACTTCTAGCCACAATGGCTTAGAGAGGTGGGTTTGTCTATGCATTACTCAGAAAAAAGTAGACAATTCAAGCAAGAGCAATTTTCACACAGGGAAACATAGGCAATTAAATAAACTGGGAAGAGACCATCCAACATCTTGCATGCCAGGCTAAGGACTTTAAAATTAGGGTTTATCAAAGGGTGGTTATCAGCAATATAAAATAATGGAATTATTAAAAATGAAGATAACTGGGCCCCAGGGTCAGTCTCGATCTAAATCTTGTAATATTCATTTTAAACATAACTCCAAGATGATTTTATTCACACTAAAGTTTGAGAATCATTGATACTGTGTTAGAAAGACATTAAAGAATTTTTACCACAATATATAAAGGTGGTATTTACAACAGCCACTTCTCTCTTCCTAGTACACTGTGCATAATTGACTGATTTAAATTTGTAGAAAGGGATACCAATTGACAGGCTACTGCCAAAAGACAAATCAGAAAGAAAAGCCACTTTGCAATACATAAAAAAGGTAAAATAATTGACATACAATAAGTTTTCATAAATCATTAAGAAAAATACATTTTAGTAGAAAAATATGCTAAGAATACAAAAAATAATGTTCAAGTAGTCAATAAATATGACAGTGGACAAATTCACTAGAAATTAACAAAAATCACACATAATTCCATTTTTGGCATTTCAAAATAGCCAAAAGTGGTGAGGGAAAGGAATATAAGTTGGTATAAAATTTCAAGAAAAAGACATTAATATGCAGCAAGAGTTTATACCCTTTAACTTGAAAATGTCCCTTAGAACCTATTTTCAGAAAATAATCAGAGGCATGATTTGTATATATTATTTTAAGAACAAGTAATTAGAAACAATTTATATCCAAACAATGGCAAGTTACCTTCTTTATACTTTTCTGCATTTTTAAAAGATTTTATAAAACACACTCTTTTAAAGATTTTAATCTTCAAAAAGACTATTAGAATATTCTAGATTATGGAGAGCAATCACCATCAGACCTCTCCAGTGCCAAAGTCGAAGAAGCTATTGGCCTGGTGGTTAATTGCATTTAGTATCATGTTTCCGTAGTTAATTATGAACATGAATGAAGTTTATCATTGAAATCACGACGTAAACAATGTATAGTAAACCTGAGTGATTAGTATTATTATGATGTTAAGCCTTACAAAGTATTTTGTATTTCATTAATAATAGGGTATAGTTACTTTTCTATTATACATTAATTAGCTCAGGTCATTGAAATCCTATCATAAGCCACCCCCTTCCTCCCCAAATAACAGTATAATAGTGTGATGAAGAATGATCAGCCTGCACTACCATCAAGCTCGCTGTTCTACAGAACAAGTCTGTTTTAGGACGGAGAAGGAAAAAAATTACATACTGTTTTTTAAAGTAACCCCAGCTGGCTAATTTAGAAAGCAATCTGGTAAACAGTCCCAATGGAACATCTGCACAAAACAAGGAGAAAACATAGGACCAACAAAACAAATGAGAAAAGAAAATTAATGGAAGACAGGATGATAGAAACTCTACTCACCTAGCCTTTTTTAAACTTAAGAACTTTAAAATTCCTTAAATTTTCTACTACCTCCAAATTTTATACCAGTAAAAATACACTAAAACAAAACACGTTATCAGAAATTTTTATTGAGACCCTTTACTAAATTACTGGCTGCTACCTGTACAAAGGAATGGTTTTTATAATAACCACACTTCTAAAACCCCAAAATATATCCACTACTGGCCTTCTCTACAAAAATAACCTGTTAAACATAGTCTAAGCGACAAATCCCCAATGTACTTTAACATACCCAAATAGCATATGCTGTTTTTTTTCCATCTGGAGTTATAGTCTCCCTGTCCCTCATTCATTGAACATTAAAGGAGCATACATATCTCCCTCATATATACAAGTTTAAGGCACTGAGTGTCCTATTATTAGTATTAACTTTTTGTGTCTTATCCCCCTACATTACTGGCAGCCTGAACTGAACTGTTCCCACCATTCCCAGAGAGACATACACCAATATAAGGGTAGGAAACGTGTTTTTCATAGCTTTAGTCTCAGCACATATAGTGTCTAGCATATAATAGGCATTCAATAATTTGTGAATATTTGATTGAATTATAAAATAATTGACAGATGAAAACTACATAAGTTAATAATAAATCACTAAAACTATTAATGTTAAATTGCTACTAGTTCAATTTACCAATCAGATTCTTTAAACTGGTGATGTGGTTCACAATGTCTGTTCTCTTGTGTACTACTGTGGGATCTCCTCTTCCGTTTGTGGCTTCCACTGTAGCTTTCATGGCTCCAGCGCTCTCTACCATCCCAATGAGGGCAGTGAGTTCTTTTGGAATGCCGCATCTGTTAACGGAAACAAAAAGTGAGTTGTGGAGGTTATATATGATTGTTTAGCAAATAAAATAATTTACATTAATGTCATTTAAATATAAATACCCAGAACATGGGGTCATACAGGTACTAAAATCTTTTGTAGGCAGTTTCCCAAGGCATGGGGTACTATTCCACTGGTATGTCAGATGATTTTAAGTGTGATGAAGGACTTTACACTTAGGACAGATCTAGGACTAAATAATGAATTACACTGTGAGACCTTAATGGATTGTCTTTCAATTCTTCTGGATAAAAATTCTCAGCTTGGTGCTTGTCTTCAACTAACACTTCCTAATAATATTTAAAAAATATAAAAAGAACCAAGGTTCAGTCTTAGAGCCTTCAACAGTATCTAGCCAGAAACAAATAACTTTTTTTGGTTTTAATTTATTTGTACCATTACCTTATTAAAGTAAATCAGTACCAATCTGCTAATTAAGTTACTGATATGATTCCTTTTAAATATGAACTAATAAAAAGGGAAATACTATTACGAGTGTCATGCAGCTTTGGCAAAATTCTGCAATACAAATAGCTTCAGTCAGAGAAACACTTAGGGATACTAAATAAAGATGAGTGTTAAAAAGTATAGAGCCATAGCCCTAGCCGGTTTGGCTCAGTGGTTTAGAGAGTCAGCTTGCGGACTCTCTATCAAGGGCACATGTACCTTGGTTGCAGGCTCACTCTTTGTCTCTCCTCTCTTCCTTCCACTCCCCCCCCCCCCCAAATCAATGGAAACAATATCCTCAGTTGAGGTTTAACGAGAGAGAGAGAGAGAGAGAGAGAGAGAGAGAGAGAGAGAGAGTATAGAGCCATCAATGAAGCTTCTTTTTAAAAAAACGTTATTGATTTTTTTTTACAGAGAGGAAGGGAGAGGGATAGAGATTTAGAAACATGGATCAGCTGCCTCCTGCACACCTCCTACTGGGGATGTGCCCGCAACCAAGGTACATGCCCTTGACCGGAATCGAACCTGGGACCCTTCAGTCTGCAGGCCAATGCTCCATCCACTGAGCCAAACCGGTTTGAAGCTTCTTTTTCTCAAACATGCGAGAGTTCCTCTAAATCTTTTGACCTTTCAATTACCAAAATTGTATTTTAACCACATTAGAAACTCTTTAAAACAGAGGTGGTTAAGCGCTCTTAAATGACATCAAGCAAAATTACAACATGCGATTGACATAGTCATTATTATGACCACCCATTATTATGCAATCGTTGCAAAACTTATGTGTCTGCTTTAATTTTTTCCCATCCACCATCAGTCTGCCATAACCAGCTCACCTCGAACAAGGCACACTTCTCAAATAACCAAAGTTACCAATATGCAAATATTAAAATTCAAATAAGCATTTTAGGAAAACCAAATATTTTTATTTCTCTAAACAAGCTCACTACTTTAAATTTAGTTCTCCTGTTAGGAAGTGTCCCTCTCTTCCCCACCCCTGTTAACGTTCAGAAAGATTTTCTCAGGTTAAGAGAAGAATCCTGGACTCACACTCTATGGCTAAGGCTCCTCCTGAGCACACAAAAAAAGAAAGATTACCTAGAATTATTAAACGACCTCTAATTAATAAAGAATCCTAAGTGCTAGGATCACAAGATATTGTTCAAGTAAAACGCCAAGTGTCAGGAATGCAGATCTGCTGCAACAATGGTATGCTCCACCGAAAAACAGTGCAGCACGAAGGACAAACCTCTGCACATTTCTACCCTCACAAGCACCAGCTAAATAAACAAACACCAGGACGTGGACTCGCAGTTCCTCGGTCGCCCGGCCCCCACGGCCAGCCTTTGGCACCATAACAGACAGGAACTAATGTTTCACCCTGCAAAACCCGGGTCCCGAAGGGCTTGAGCTCCGACAACACAAACCCGAAAGGCGGCTTCCCCAGGGTCTCCCGACCTGCCTTCCGCCTCCCCGGCCGCGAGGCGAGCAAGCAGCCAGGCCCTCCGGGAAGAGTCAGTGGCAGAACCGGCGTCTTTCCGCCCAGGACATTACATCTACCATAACACCTACGCACCCTTCGATTTTAATTTTTAAAAAAATATATTTTTATTGATTTTAGAGAGGAAGGAAGAGGGAGAGGTAAAAACATCCACGAGGAGAGAGAATCACGGATTGGCTGCCTCCTGCAAGTCCCCCACTGGGGATCGAGCCCACAACCCCGGCATGTGCCCTTGACCGGAATCGAACCTGGGACCCTTCAGGTCGCAGGCCGACACTTCACCCATTGAGCCAAACCGGCTAGGGCGCACCCTTCGATTTTATAGCCAACCGGCTGAGTTGTGTTCGGAAGGAATCCCAGTCACCGAGGCCCCAACCCGGTCGTTTCTCCGACACCTGACTTCGACACCTAAAAAGAATGGGATGCCACTCAGCCCAGCACACCCCACCCGAAACCTTACCTCTGCTAAAGCAAAAGGCCCTTTGCCGAGCAATGAAGCCAACCCACCGTCTTAACTCTCCAGCCTCTGCGACAAAAACCTTGCAAAATGGCGGCAGCGCCGTCTTCCTAAAATCCCCAGGCGGCCTCCAGCTCCACCTCCGCCACGCAATCGCGCCTGCGTGACAAAGCCTCGCGCGCTCCCGCCCCGCCCTGAAAGGGGCGGGGATACATGTGACGTCATAGGCGGGCCGGGCCCTTCACACTGCGGCTGCGCGGGCCACGTCCTTCCCGCCCGAGCCCAGGTGAGACCCAGGCGACGCCTCAATATGTTTTTGTTTTGGGAGATCCTGGCTGCAACTTGGGAAGAAAAGTCTGTTCCCTGACCTAAGCCTGTGGCTTGCGTTTCCTCCTTTTGCGCGGAGGATATCCTGAGTGCGGCACCTCTCGGCTGAGCCAGCCATGGCCCCGTTTTCTGCCCTCCCTCTCCAGTGGGCCAGCGCCAGTGCACTTTGGCCGCTGGCCCTCAGCCTAGCCCAGGACCTCAACCCCAGAGGGAGTCCACTAACCTGCCCTGTGGTGGTGCTGGGGCCAGTTCAGTGAACGTGATACTTGTCCAGCCCTTTTGGAGCCTCCAGTCTGAAAATGGATTGGGAGAAATCAAGAGGGTGTCTCAGAAAAGGAGCTCAGGAGTGCTCCTCTTTTTAAAGGCCTGCGTTCTTTATCAGAATAACACAACAAAAAGTGATGTTTCCGGACAGATATGGAAGCTGGATGTTTGCCTAACAAAGTTCTTCCCATTGTCCCTGTGGGTCGATTTTATTTAACCAAGGCAGAGTGATGTCTGAGAGCTAGTGAGCATCCACTAAAGGGATTTACCTGGAATGTATTTTGCAGTTTTAAAAATCCACAGACATTTCCTATTGTGAGTGTGTAGTGTCAAATGTAAGAAACATACAAAACTGTAGAATTTTTGTGAGTTTATTTGAGACAAACTGACCACAATTGTCAGGAAGCAAAATCTCAACAGATTGAGAGAGTGCTCTGAGAAATGGCAGTTTTGCACCTTATTTTATGCATTATAATCAAAAGAGGAGGTGTAAGTGGGTTACCTGAAATCCATTGGTGGTAGATTAGGGAGTAGGGAAAAAAAAGGAAAGGTGAGGGGAGGGGAGGATTACTGGGATTGGATAAAAAGTGAAATGGTAGACGCATACTGTACTTCTTTTATACAGGTGGGTACAGGATAGTTAACAGTCAACAATTAACTCAATTAACAATGAGGGGATTTGTGGTCTCCTCCCTGGTCTGATGGTTGTGCCCAAAGGGGTCTGAAAAAAGTGATGTTATTAAAAAAAATAACTAGAATTCAATTGAACTTTTACTTTATAGAAAATGCAAGCCAGAAGAACAAGTTCATTGACTATACAATTGTAATGTGATATTCCAGAATGTTGAAAATGATTTAGGAAAATAAGTATTTTATCAACAAATAAAAAACAAAAATAAAACACAAATGGTAAACTGTTGATGATTTAATGAAACCTAAAGAGAGATATGAAATAAAGAGTTCTGGTTTTATCGAGAGACATGCTAAAATGTTTATTCATTTGGGGTCTTGGAATTGAGTGCTTTGAATAAGTCAAATGGGGTATAAATAATTGATGAGGTTAGGTAAGAAATACATGAGGAATCACTACTCTCTTCCTTTGTATCTGGAAATTTCCATGGTTAAAAATAACCATGGAAACCAACAAAACCAAGATTGTGGGCTCTGAAGTCTCTTCTTATCAAATAACTTCTCTTCTTTTTTAGAGGTAATGATCTTGAGCAAATTACCTGGATACTCTTTGTCATAGTTTGGTTCACCTTTTCGAGGAATATTGTATTAATTCCTGCCTCTGGTGTTGTTGTCTGAAAGAAATGTACTATGCAAATAAAACTTTTTCAATATTATTGAGCACTTGATAAGTCTCAGTATTTATAACTAATCACTATGCTATTATTTTTTTTAATATATTTTATTGATTTTCTACAGAGAGGAAGGGAGAGGGATAGAGAGTCAGAAACATCGATGAGAGAGAAACATCAATCAGCTGCCTCCTGCACACTCCCCACTGGGGATGTGCCCGCAACCAAGGTACAAGCCCTTGACCGGAATCAAACCCAGGACCCTTGAGTCCGCAGGCTGACGCTCTATCCACTGAGCGAAACCAGCTAGGGCTATGTTATTATTTTAATAATTTATTTCACCAGGCTAATTTATAAATTGAAATTGATACTTTGGTTATCTCTAATTATTTTACTTCACATCTGGCTTTTGACTTTTTTCCCTGAAATGAGAGTTCAAGCTCTAACAACTTTCTGAATAGCTGAATGGACGGTAAATTTTCTGAAAGGTTACTAGAGAGTAGATTTTGGGAGTTCTCACTGAACACACAAAAAATTGCAACGATGCGAGGTGATGGATATGTAACCCTCGCTATACCTGCGTTTTTCATTTGTGAAGTGTAACGAAATGGGGATAAGGGTTTTGAGAGGATTAAGTGCTTAGAACAGCACCTGGCCCATACTTAACAGTGTTAGTAATTGCATGTCTACTTGTCTTTTTAAAAAATATACATGTTATTGATTTTAGAGAGGAAGGGAGAGGGAGAGAGAGAGAGAAACATCAATGATGAGAGACAATCATTGACCATCTGCATCCTGAACGTCCCCCACTGGGGATCGAGCCTGCAACCCGGGCATGTGCCTTGACCACGGCATCGAATGGTGGCTTCCTGAGCCACAGCGGCCGGGCTGTCTACTTTCTTATGTGCATATTTCATATCTGCTCCAGGCAACCAGGAAGCTTCTGCAGAGTTAAGAAGGTTGCCCACTTTTCCCATTACAATTTGTGCCTCACGGCCCAGGCTCCGCCCACAGCCCGGTGGGCGGGGCGAGGTGCCGCCAGTTCCTGGGCGGGGCTGGGCTGGCGTGCCTCCAGGCGCCGGCGCCGTGAGGTAGGACGTTACCCGTTGACGCAGCCGCAGTGCCGCCGGGCTCCGCTCGGACCCCCGCCCCCATCCTCCGCCTCCCTCTGTGTCAGTGGTCTGGGCCGGGCCGGACCTCGGGAGGCGGGCTGGACCTGCGGCGGCGGCGGCCCGGCTGGCAGGGCTAGAGGGCGTGCGCGCGGGCAGAGCTCGGCAGGCCGCGGACGCTCGGCGCTGCCCCGCTGCCCAGGGCCCTTGGCATCCTCCGATGAGAGGCCGGGCGGTTCCGGACCGCCCCAGTCGCTCGCCCAGGTGAGGGGATGGGACCGGGTTCGGTTGGTCAGCACTTTGTCCAGTGTCTCGGGACCTCAGGCGGGTCGGAGGTGGGGAGGTTTGGCTTCATCTCAACTGCCTGCTGTGGTGTCGACACATTCGCCGTCTTTTGCTCTCCCTACCTGCAGCACCAGGACCTGAGACCGGTGTCGTAGGTCAGTGGGAAGGCCTGGAAGGGCCGTGACCGTCGGCTGGCGGGGTTTGGGATGCCGGAGAGGCCCGGCGGCTGGGGAGGAGGCAGGTGGGCGGCGCCCGCTCGCGGGTGTGGTCTCCGCGGGAAGGACCGTGCACCTGCCGGCCGCGGCGTCAGCCCCGCGAGCACCTGGCTGCGGGCGACTGCAGGCTGCTGAGCAGGGGCGGTGGAGCCCTCGGACCCCCCTCGGCACCCAGGCGGGGTGTGTTTTGTATTCTGAATGGGTGCTTGCTGAGTCTGCACCATGGCAGAGAACGCATTTCAGCGGAAACATTATCTTGGTCAAAGGGAGGTGAAAGGAAGTTGATTTTCCTTTTCAGAGTGTTAGTTGTCTCCTACCCCCCACCCTCCCACTGCGCTGGCCTTCGTTTTTTGCCTGTAGAAAGTTAGGGACGCTGGTCAAAGGCCAAGAGTTCTTGTAAATTTCCTCTGTAAGGAAACCATGGTATTGGAAGTGTCCAAGTGTGTAAGTTTCAACTGGTTTCATGTTGCTGCTTTCGCTTCATTCACGGCAGTGAAGCTGATGTATTCTAAGTTAACTAGACCCATCAAGTATAAAAACAGAGGAATATACCAGAATATTTCTTTTAAAAATATATTTTTATTGATTTCAGAGAGGGAGAGAGAAACATCAATGATGAAATAGAATCATTGACCAGCTGCCTCCCTGCATGCCTCCCACTGGGGATGGAGCCCACAACCCGGGCATGTGCCCTGACTGGAATCGAACTGTGATCTCCTGGTTCATAGGTCAACAACCACGGAGCCACGCCCTGCCGGGCCAGAATATTTATCTTATAAAACTATTGAGTGGTACATGATGTGCATATATTACCTCATGTAGTCATCATAACAATCCTATCATGTAAGGCCTTTTATTCTCATTTTACAGATGAGAGAACTAAAGCCATAGCCTAAGAAACAACTCGTCCAAAGTGCTCTCCCTCCTGGGAGCATGCCTGTGCCTTTTGCTTTCCCTTTCCCTTCCCCTTTCCCTCCCCCCCCCCCCCCTTCCCCTCAGGCACCTTAGCATTAGCTTTCTCATGCCCCAAACTCCAAGGGCCCTTCTTTTAAGTCTATAACATGCTTCCTAAGCCCATTTCTTCTAGGAATTACTTTTTTCCACTTCTGTAATTTACTCAATAAATGTTATCTTAAAGTTAAAAAAAAAAAAAAAAGAAAAAGAAAAGAAACAATTCGTCCGAAGTCAGAGCTGTGATTTAAACCAGGTGATTCGACTCCTGGTTACAGCCCCTTAATCAGTGTTATTTGCAGGTTGGTTTTCATTTGTTAAGAAATGTGCTAGGTGCTGGGAATAGGAAAAAAAACTGAGGAGCTGCTCTTGCCAGCAGAGACCAGCAATTTGAGAGAACTTTTTCAAGGCCACACTTAGAGAATGTTTTAAAGGTAGGATTCGACCTCTAGAACCCTCTAACGACCATAATCATGCTTTTTCCATAAGTACAGTAAGTAGTTTTCAAATGTTTGGTAGGCCATAGTTTGGAAATTGTGGTCTTATTCTAGATTTTCAAGAGTATTCTAGGAGTATTTTTTATTTGGAAACTTTAAAGAATGAAATATAGTATTGAACTAACATTAAATACTTTTATGTAATCAAATAATTTAATCTGAAATGGTAAAATTTCTCTTAAAGCCAGAATATCTTGTATAATTTGTTGAAATGTTTTTTGTTCTTTTTTAGGTTTGTTAAGATGAAACACTGCAGATGGGCCTTCTGAAGATAAGGAGAAGGAAAAACAACATTGAAGACTCTGGGAATAAAAACAGGTAAATATTTCTTTTTTTTTTTTTTTTAAATATATTTTATTGATTTTCTACAGAGAGGAAGGGAGAGAGAGATAGAGAGTTAGAAACATCGATGAGAGAGAAACATCGATCAGCTGCCTCCTGCACATCTCCCACTGGGGACGTGCCCGCAACCCAGGTACATGCCCTTGACCGGAATCGAACCCGGGACCTTTCAGTCCTCAGGCTGACGCTCCATCCACTGAGCCAAACCGGTTTCGGCAACAGGTAAATATTTCGGCTAAGTTAGGAAACAATATAATTTCCAATTAAAGTTCAGATAGAGGAAATTTTCTGACTTTCTGTTTCAGTTGTGTTTTGATCTGCTTAAATGGTCAAGGAATGAGGGTTGGGTGGGGGTGGTGTATAACTTGACCTGCCAATCAGTATACTTGACTTTGGAACTACTGATATCTGACAGTTGAGTCATGTGCTGAGCTTGTGTATTGAAAGAATAAGGCCACAGAAAGTTTTGGCTTGATTTTCTATCAAGTGTCACTGTTCTTTTCTCTCTTTTGCAAGTACATTAATCTGCCTGTATATAAAGGGGTTTAAAAAAGAAATGAAGAAAATTGTTTGACTTTTTGTTTGTTCTTCATAGAATAGTATGTGTAGTTAAAACTCAAGTATTTTTTTTTTTACTATGAGTTCTATGGAGAATAGTAGAAGGCATGGTTAAACATGATTAAGGAACATTTAATTCATTGGTAAATATTTAACAAGTACCATATGTCAGGCATTATTTCAGGCTTCTAGTAATAGAGTGGTCTAAATGGCCCTGAAGAGTGCTAGAGTAGTGAGTTTTTTTCTAGAAGGTAATATTATTGTGACCCATACATTTCCTTAATTTTATATGCAAGGATGATTTTGGTTTATTTAAAAGACTGGGAAAGCAGCACTATGCAACCCTATGGTAGATGTTTGTATTTATAATAAATCTTTCATATTATTGTAAATAATAAAAGAAGGTATTCTATTAGTACTACTTTAAGGTACAGTGGGAAACTCAGATTCTTACAGACTTCATTTTAGCATACTGTTTTTCATGTTAAAGATAGTGATAGAATTTCAAAATTTCATCAGAGATTAACAAATTAACTCTTTAATTTGAGGAAATTTGGGGGAATTCACATGTGACAAATAGAAGTGCCATGGTCAAATAGGCATTCTGGATGATGAATTGGAGAGAGGTGAGCTTGGAACCATGGGGATCAAGTAGAGGCTATTGTAATAAGACCAGATGGCAAATGAGAGTCAGAGTCAGAAGTAAAACAGGGCAAATGGGAATTAAGGGATGGAGATGACTATACAGATGCAAAGGAGATAGAATGGGTAAGAATTATTGGGTTGAAAGAAAGTAGAGTCAGAGTACTTCCTGGTTGCTGTCATGTTCAAGCACATAATATTTAATAAATACTTGCAGGGTAAATGAAATGGATTACCTGATATCTGGCTTGGGAAACTGAGTGGATTCTGGGGCAATTTCTGAGAGAGAATAGGAAGAGCAATAAATTGGGAACATGATTGGAGGAGATAAGTTTAGTTGGGAGGTATTGTATTTGAGGCCTCTGTGATTTCCACCAAGAAATGTCATTAGGTAGCCCTAGCCAGTTTGGCTCAGTGGATAGAGCATCGGCCTATGGACCAAAGGGCCCCGGGCACGATTCCCATCAGGGGCACATACCTTGGTTGTAGGCTCCTCCCCGGCCGGGGCCCTGGTTGGGGCTCATGCAGGAGGCAACCAATCGATGTGTTTCTCTCATATCAATGTTTCTCTCTGTCTTTCCCTCTCTTCCACTCTCCCTAAAAATCAAAGGAAAAATATCCTCGGTGAGGAATAACAAAAAAAGAAAAAAAGAAATGTCATTATGTAGTTGTGTATATGAATCTGAGTTAGGAAGACCCATCTTGAGGTATAAATTGTGGAGTCTCCATTTATAGGTGATAATTAAAAGCAGTGCGAATGGATGAGATCACTCAGGGAGAACATGTGAAGTTATAGAAGAGAAGTAAGGATGGGGTACACTAATTCTTAAGGTTAAGGTAGAAGAAAAATACACCTCAAAGGAGATGGGATGGGCAGGGAAGTAGGAGAAAATCAGGAGAGTCACAGAAGTCAGTGAAGGAACTGAGTTTGGAGAAAAGGAATGAATATTAGACATCTTTGAGACATCAAATAAAATGAGGACAACAGAAGTATCCATTGGACATATCAGTCAAGAAGTTGTTGACTTGAGCAAGAGCAATTATATAGGTGGAGCCAGTTCACACTTGGTAAATGATGAGGAAATTGAAATACCTAATGTCATTTAATCTTTCAGAAACTTTGGTTTTAAGGAAAAAGAGAGAGGGTAGCTAAAGAGATGTACTTGAGAGAGGGCTTTTGTTTTTTAAAGGTATGAGTGATATGAATACATTTATAGTACACTCTTTATTTGCTAGGACAAAAAGCCATCAGAAAGAAAATATGAAGATAACAGAATGAGGAAGAATAATTGATATAGCTGATCACTGACTAAGCTGGAAGGGATGCAGGTCAAAGGTACTTTCTATAGACTTCTACTGAGACAGGAGGTAGGGAGGTAGTGATGATTATGGATACAGATAAATTGGTAGGAGGCAGAGTGGAGGTTGCTTCACAAGTCCATGCAGGAGACACCCACTTATGGTAGGAAGAGGGAAATTATTCGCTCATGGGATTGGTAGCCTTTTGATGTGGGCTTGCTGACTTCTGATCTCTTGGTAAGAAGGAAGAGGGAAGAAGAGTGGGGGTAGTTTAGCTTAAGATGATAAGTATGAACCATATGAGTAGAGCTACTTTGCTTATCTTCCTTATACTTTATATTAGTTATCTATTGCTGAGTAACAAATTATCCCAAACCTCTGTGGCTTAAAACATTTATTATCTCAGAGTTTCTATGGACTCAGAACTTGGGAGTTACTAAGCTTATTACTTCTGACTTAGGGTCTCAAGAGGTTGTAGCCAAGATCTTGGCTGGGACTTAGTCATCTAGGGACTCAATTGGGGCTGGAGGAATTGCCTCCGTGATGGTTCACTCACATGGCTGTTGGCTTGAGGCCTCAAATCCACACCACATGGACCTCTCTAGGGCTTCTTATGTGTCCTAGCAAGGCAGCTGGTTCCCCCAGAACAGATGACCCAAGACAGAGAGCAAGGAGGAGGCCATGATGCCATCTGTGATCTAGTTATACATCATTGCTTCTGCCATATTCTCTTAGAATTGTATCATTCAGTCCAGACCACATTTGGGAGGGGAATTACTTAAGCTCCACCTCTTGAAGGGAGGAAGATCAAATAATTTTTGGACATATTTTAAAACTACCACATACCTTCTATCAGTTGTCAATTTCTTTAGGGGACAAAGCTCTTTAAAAATATGTAGATTCAGCCTTTTTTGACCAGGTGAGAGGGAGGTGCAGAAAAGTGGGGAGTGGTTCAGTTGGATTTGGCTTACTTCACAATGTGGCCTTCTTTGCTGTTAATCAGTCTCTGTAACACATCAGTCTTCATGTGTTATTGCTTGTGGTTATCTAAAAAAACCGCAAAAAACTGCTGATCTTTGATTTAATGGGCCACCCTTTTAGGAGAAAAATGTCATAGTGGGCAAAATATGAATTTATTATACCAAAAAATGAATTTTGGTAACATTCATAATAGCTCCTAAACTAAATCTAGAGTTGGGAGGAGGGAACTAATTTTTCATAGAAAAGAAATGGAAAACCAAGAGATTGTTACTGATTTCAGTGAACATAAGTGATGAGAAGCAATATAACAGACTCTAAAGCCAGATGATCTGTCTAGGTTATGATCTTAGATGGACCCTAACCTGTGTTTGTGCTTAGCTTCTGCCACAGTTTTCTCATCTGTAAAAGGGGAAAGTTGTAAATGGGTAGTTATTTGTGATGGTTAGATGAGTAAACACATGTAAAGTGTTTGGAACAGTGCCTGGCACATAGCAAGCTGTAAATAAATGTTAGCTAGTGCCATGGGAGCTCTATTTTCATGGTGAGCTAATTCCATGGAATTAACATTTCAAAGAGTAAGATAATATCCACCTAAATGTTTAGAGTCTAGACCAGTGGTTCTCAACCTTCTGGCCCTTTAAATACAATTCGTCATGTTGTGACCCAACCATAAAATTATTTTCGTTGCTACTTCATAACTGTAATGTTGCTTCTGTTATGAATCGTAATGTAAATATCTGATATGCAGGATGGTCTTAGGCGACCCCTGTGAAAGGGTCGTTTGACCGCCAAAGGGGTCGCGACCCACAGGTTGAGAACCACTGGTCTAGACTTTAAACTACTGACCTTATTGTACTTTGTGAAGTATGTTTCTATCTAGCTCCATATCCATTAGAGTACTGTATCACATGTCACCAGTAGTATTGTGTAAGTCATATTCCCATAAAATTTCCTAAAGCAGCCTTTTAAAAAATTTTTACATAAAAGTTCAATTTCAAGTGGAGCAATATTCTCAGCTCACAGGAATTGGCTATTAAATGAATCTGTTGGATTCTTTGCATAACAACATGCTAATAAAAAATACTTTCTTTAAACTTGATACGATGAGAGTGTTGGTGAACACATGTGACCAGTTTCCTCCTCCCTCTCTCCCCACAGCCAAAGACCTTACCTATTGTTGGGTGGATAGATTGAAGATATATTAGGTAAGGTTTTCTGACTGAATGGACTTAAGGTAGAAGATAAGAGAGGAGCTTAAGGGCCAGATACAAAAATGAAAATACTTTTATTACAAGAAACCTTTAGAATTTTACTTTGCTAATGCTTTTTAAAATTATATTTATTTGAGAGAGAGAAACATCTATTTGTTTCCCACTTATTGATACATTAATTGATTGATCCTTTTTTTCAGTCCATCTTTTAATTTTTTTGAAAAATTCCTGACATTACAGAACTAAACTGAAATGTATTAATATTCCACTCTTACATTTCATGACAAACAAACAAAAAAAATCATGAGCCAAAAAACAACAAACAAAACAAAACAGGGAGAAGCTTATAAAACTAAATATGGATCTCAGCATTAACAGCTGAACAGAGAAAGGAATTAAAATGCTTTAATTAAAAAAATCACGAGTGGTTGATAAAGTGTGTAGAAACTGAAAATATACAAACTGTTTAAAACCTGGAATCGCTGACTGTTCAGAAACTATACAGATGGATCATGAGTGGTGGTGAACAGCAGAAAAGGGATTATGGATGAATCTGCATTGTTCTAGCTGCTCCCCATGCCACCTGTCTCGAAGAAAGCCTGACATTGATTAGATATTGAGCCAGGCTGATGCTGGCAGCAGATCCAGTGATGGTAACCTGCCTATCAGTAGATCCTTCCACTGGGTTCGCAATTTTGATCTGCGCCCCAGACATCTGATGGATCTCATTGATTTTGGCGCCTTGACGCCTGATTATGCAGCCAATCAAATCATTTGGAATGGTGAGTTCATGAGAAGTAGTCTGAGCAGATGCATCCAACCTGCCCAAATAGCCTTTCACCTCTAGAGAGCTGGATTCAATGCCATTGAATCCGGTGTTGCCATGCGTCATGGGAAAATGAGACTGTTGCTGTGGAATGGTACACTTTCCTTGAATGGTATAGGCTTGACCACCTGCAAAGAGACCAGAGAACTGGACGGCTTGGGCCAGTATGGGATGGTCACACCCTTAGGGGGGACTCCAACATGATCACGCAGATCTGTTTCACACACTCCATGATGGATTGCGGAATGCCAGCAATAGTGATGGCCTGCTCAGTTGAGTTGGGGAGCATATCCCCTGCCACCTGGACCTGAGCCCCTGTACTCTCTCTTATTTCCTTGATCTTGCAGCTACTTTCCCAATGAGAAAGCCACATTGACTAGCAGGGACCACCAGCCACAGGGTGACTGGGGGTCTACTGGCAGCTGTGCTATTGGTCATAGAGCTGCTGATGTCCTCTTCCAGTTTGTCCGTGATCATAGCAAAGGCTTTGAAGATGGCATTAGTGAGTCCAGTCAAAGTGATAATTCTCTCAGAACAATTCCCTTCTGAGATGTTGATACATGCACCACTCTCCTTGCGCATCTTCTTAACTGATTCTCCTTTCTTTCCCATGATACTGCCAACTTCCTTTCCATGCGTAAGTAGGCGGATGGTGAGAGTGACATTTAATCAACCTTCAGTCACACACCAGTGCCCATATCGAGCAGTATTCTGGGGAGCTGGACTTTGAGTGGTCAAGTCTTTGGTCACTGGTGGGGGGGGCAGGGGGAGGGAGGGTGAAAGCCAAGAACTGCAGGTGTGAGGTGACTGAGGGAAAAGGGGAGCAGGTGGGAAGGGGAAAGGCGGGAGGCCAGGGGCGGAACAACAGGGGAGGCGGGAAGGCGAGGGCGGGTGGAGGAGAAAGGTGGGGTGGAAGAGAAAGGTGGGGTGGAAGAGAAAGGTGGGGTGGAAGAGAAAGGTGGGGTGGAGGAGAAGGGGGAAAGAGACCCTGGGGCGGGAGAGGGGAGAGGGCGCAGGCTGCTGTTGCTCCGGATGCTGGGCTGCTGCCTCTGCTAGTCTAGGCCATTGATTGATACTTATTTGTGCCCTGACCCAGAACTGAACCCGAAATCTTGGCGTGTCCTGACACCACTCTAACTACTGAGCTGCCCAGCCAGGGCAAGTTTGCTAATGCTTTTTAGTGTTCCGGCTTTCTGGTATATTTCTAATAAAAATGGCAGTGATACATTGAATTCTTGACTAAAAGAATTAAAAGAAACTTCAGAGTGTGTTTTTCAGCCAGTACAAAAAGCAAAATAAAACCCCACAACTAATCAATGTATAGGATATAGAAGTGAGATGATTAAACCTTTTCATTTATGGCAATCTCTGTTGATTTCTATATCGCTGATCATGTTAAGGAATATGCTGGTGGTAGTAATTCATCTGGTGGACTATTAAAGGTGGGTACCAATTAAATATCATGTTTTCACCCTGGCTGGGTGGCTCAGTTAGTTGGAACTTTGTCCTGTACACCAAAAAGTTGCTGGTTCGATTCCCTAGTCAGGGCGCCTTCGTGAGGCAACTGATCAATGTTTCTTTCACATCAATATTTCTCTTTCTAAAAACCAATAAAAACAAAACAAAGCATATCCTCAGGTGAAGATAGATAGATAGATCAATCAGTCATCAATCAATATCATGGTTCCTGGAGATTTGGAGAAGTTGAAGTCAGTGGTTTTTTTTTAAAATATATTTTTTCAGAGAGGAAGGGAGAGGGAGAGAGAAACATCCATGATGAGGGAAAATCATTGATTGGCTGCCTCCTACATGCCCCCTACTGGGGATCGAGCCCACAACCCAGGCATGTGCCCTTGACAAGAATTGAACCCGGGACCCTTCAGTCCGCAGGCCGATGCTCTATCCACTGAGCCAAACCAGCTAGGGCGAAATCAGTTCTTTTTATCCTGTTTGTAGATATGTTTTCTACAGCTTTTTAAGAGTTTTATTTTCTTTCTTTAAAAACATTTAAAAAAAATTGATATCAGAGAAGAAGGGAGAGGGATAGAGAGATAGATACATCATTGAATGGCTGCCTCCTGCATGGCCCACACTGGGGACTAAGCCCTCAATGCAGGTCTTCCTCTTGGGTTCTGACCCCCTGCACCAGGAGCCTCCCCATGCAGATGTTCTTGTTGCTGTGCTCAGGCTCTGGCACCTTGAGCTGGACTTCTCCTGCCCTGTCCCCCATCATGGATGCCCCTTTCCTTCCACTCAGGCTCCAGCATGCTGTGCCTGACCACCTCTGCACATATGGCCTCCTCATGCTGCTAAGGCTTTGATACCCTGAGGCACTGCTGCTGTTCTGCTAGCCTCTTCATCACACAGGTGGATACTTATTTATCTTTGTTCACCTCTGACATCCCCTCTAGCCATGAGACTCCTGTCCCTTTCTTCCCCAGGTGCAGATGCTGGCCTTACTTTGCCTACCTTGTGGCTTTTAGATGAACCCTTCAGGAAGGGGAGAGGAAGAGGAAGCAACCAGTTTGTTTTCAGGCCATCATTTGCTCTCTGAAGGTTATGCAGTAGGTTCTTACATCAGTCTCTAGTTCCTCTTCACTAAGGAATTGGTGGTGTCCACTTACACAATGGGGCTCAGCCCCAGTTCAGCCTGATTCTGTGTCCATTGTGTGTTGACATCCTTTATACTACAATGTCCATGTCTCACTTTAGGGCCTTTATTAAGTCTTACCCTTTACTTCTGTACTTGTTCAAAGTATGTTCTCTTAACTATTGAGCCTTTATCTGTTAATTTCTCTTAAGTAAGTTTTTGCATTAGCTGAAACTGGAAAAATGTTGGTGAAAGCTGTGACGCTGCAGTTTTCTGCCTTTGCAACCTAACACCCTCCTTTTACATTCTCTTTGGCTGTGGGTTGTTACAGTGGTAGGTGATGGAGATTGGGATGGAGACTCTAGATCCTTTTGGTGAATAGATCACCTCCCCTTGGATTTGATTCAAAACAGACCCCCTTTTCATGTGGAAAGCTGAATGCTGGGACATATCCCTCCTGGAATATTTCCAGGAAGCAGAAGATCTTTTCACCCCTAGTGTTATGCTGGTGATACATCTGTAAAATGATAAAAATACGTATGAAATAGGTACATATGTTATTATGTAAACCATTATATGTGAATATTTGGTTTTAGATTAAAGGTGTTTTCAAAATGTTTCCTCCTTTAAAAAATTTTTTTAGTCTAAAAAAACTAAAAAAGGGAGAAAGAGAAAGCTCATATTTAAAGTTAGCTCCCACATTTTAAGTTGCTGGTTGATAGAATTTTCAAAGCTTTGAAAAATTTGAGAACATTTTTTTCCAGTTTTTTTAACCGTATTTAAAAATATATATATTTTTATTGACTTCAGAGAGGAAGGGAGAGGGAGAAGGCGAGAGAGAGAGAGAGAGAGAGAGAGAGAGAAGTATCAATGATGAGAGAGAATCATTGATCGGCTGCTTCCTGCAGGCCCTATACTGGGGATTGAGCCCACAACCCGGGCATGTGCCCTGACTGGGAATCGGACCATGACCTCCTGCTTCATAGGTCAAAGCTCAACCACTGACCCATGCCGGCCAAGCTCCAGTTTTATATTGTGAGATATAATTGACATGTAACATTGTATTTTCTTAAGGGTAAAGAGGATCTTTGGAAATACTTGATTATCTTTGCAGTGTTCATAATTATGGACTTTTACTAGAGGCCTGGTACACAAATTCATGCACGGGTGGGGTCCCTCAGCCTGGACGGTGATTGGGGCTGATTGGGGCCATCTTGCCCAGTCCCGATCAGGGTCGATCAGGGCCAGCCGGCCAGGGGGAGGGGGAGGAACCATGGGAGGTTGGCTGTGGGAGTGCACTGACCACCAGGGGGCAGCTCCTGCATTGAGCATCTGCCCCCTGGTGGTTAGTGTGCGTCATAGTGACCGGTCAACTGGTTGTTTGGTCACTTAGGCTTTTATATATATACTAGAGGCCCGGTGCACAAAATTTGTGCACTCGGTGGGGGGGGGGCGGGGTGCATGTCTCAGCCCGGCCTGCGCCCATTTGCAGTCCAGGACCCCTTGGGGGGATATCCACCTGTTGACTTAGGCCCACTCCCCGGGGGATCAGGCTTAAGCTTGCAGTCAGACATCCTTCTGGTAGCCAGGGAGCCCTCGGGGGATGTCCGACTAAAGGCTTAGGCCCCCAAGGGATCGGGCCTAAACTGTTAGTTAGACATTCTTAGTGCTGCCATGGAGGTGGGAGAGGCTCCTGCCACCACCTCCGTACTGGCCAGCCATGAGCCAGCTTCTGGCTGAGTGGCACTACTCCTTGGTCCGACCTAAACCCTAGAGATTAGTACTTCATTTTACAACTTTTTCTCGGGTTATAGGCAGCAGCAAACTCAGACCACACAGTCGGGTGTGCGCCCGGGCCCTCCTGCCCTCCGATGCCATAGTAACCAAACCTAACTTTCAACTTTCAGCCCCCATTCTGCCCAAGTGAAAAAACAAAAACAAAAATATTATTTAACTTTAGGTTCCCCACCCCCTTCTCTGGAGTTTGTACTTCCATGTCAGACAGTTTATATTTTCAGGGCAGGAGGTCCAAAAGAACCCGAGCAGGGTCAAGGACATGTGGGCCTCAGTCTTCTGTCTGGACTGGCCCCCCACCCAGTGGCCCTTGATCCCTAGTGTAGACTAGAAGGCCCAAGTGCACAAAAAATTTGTGCACTCGGGGGGGGAAGGAGGGGGTTCCCTCAGCCCCGGCCTGTGCCCTCTCGCAGTCTGGGACCCCTCGGGAGAATAACGACCTGCTGGCTTAAGGCCTGCTTCTGGGTGGCAGAGGGCAGGCCCCATCCCTAGGTGCCAGCCCCTGGTTGGGCTCAGAGCAGGGCTGATTGGGGAGTTTGGGCGCCGCCCCCTGTCATGCACAGAGCAGGGCGGATCGGGAGGTTGCGATGCCACCCTCAGTCACGCTCAGGGTAGGGCCGATTGGGGGGTTGGGCACCGCCCCCTGTCACACTCAAGGCAGGGTCGATGGGGAGGTTGTG